CAACAGGTGCGTAGAGAAACGCGTTCGCGACGTCAATTTGTCGCAGCTTCTTCTTCTTCATGGCGGCGATTGCGAGGAGAATGCGTAGTGAGGTGTGGCGGCTAACCGGAGCGAAAGTTTCGGTGAAGTCGCGTCCGTGTTCTTGGTCGAAGCCGCGTACAACCCAGCGAGCTTTAAATTTGTCAATGGTGCCGTCAGCCTTTGTCTTCACACGGAAGACCCACTTCCCGGTGAGCACTGTCTTGTTCCGTGCCACGCCGATAGGAACCACTTTCCACGTGTTGCGTTCCTCCAGTGCCTTCAGCTCCTTGTCCATGGCTTCGCGCCATTTTTCCTTATGCTCCCCCCCCAGAGCCTGTTGAACCGTCGCAGGCTCTTTAGGAGTGGCGGTGCCGTGGACTGCGGTGACGAGTCCGAGAATTTGCAGTCCACTCTGTGAGTAGCGGGGAAGATTTGCGTCCTCGGGATAAGCTGCTTCATCTCCCGCTTCTGGATCAGGTATGAAGTTGGGTCCTACTCGTTCTGCTTCGTTGGTGTTGACTGTCGCAGGTGTTACGTAACCGTTGTCGGCGAAATAGTAGAAGGTTTCGGCGTTGACACTTTCGCGAGGGTTATCTTCGTCCATGGGAACGTCGACGGAGCAGAACGGAAGAGGTCCGGCTTCTTCTGATGCGTTGTCCACATTCTGCTCGTCCCAGTCAGCTTCGTCCGTTGCTGAGGCGAAGGCTCGGTCACCGCGAAAACCACCTGTGGGATCCTGGTCTTCTTGCAGGTTGGCAAGGTATGTCTGGAGCGTGAGTCGTTCGTAGAAAATTACATCACGTGCTGCTACTGTTTCCTTGGAATGGACGTCGAAGATTTTCCACGCGTTGTAGTTCTTTTCGATTCCCAGGTGTACTCCCCACTGTGCTCGTTGAGAAAATCGGCCCGCTCGTGCTGCTGGGGGTCGGTACTGTACCATGCATCCGAATACTCCTAACATTTTTGTGCTGCCCTGTTTCCCTGTCCATAGCAGATGCGGTGATGCGTTGTTTGGAAGCGATGATGACGAGAGCAAGTTGTGCAGCATGACGGCGTGGTCCATTGCCGCAGGCCACTGGTGGTTGGGCAACCGCATGCCACGTAACAGTTTGCGCATGCTGTTCTGCAAGGTCCTGTTCATTCTTTCTGCCACACCTTGCTGCTGATGGGCGTAGGGAAGGGAGATGAGCCGCTTGATTCCCCTTTCCGCCAGGTACTGCTTGAATCGCTGAGAGGTGTATTCTCCTCCTCCGTCTGACTGGAAGCTTTTCAGTTTCACGCCCGATTCTCTCTCTGCTACTGGTAGCCAGGCAACGAAGGCTGCGAATGCCATGTCGCGGCTAGGGAGGTTTAGGTGCCAGACGTAACGGGTGGCGGCGTCGATGAAGGTGATTGTATAGTTGTATATTACTTGTCCTGGTTCCCGATTGTACAGGATGTCGCTATACACGTTCTCGAGTGGTGCGTACGCGGGTGCGCTCGGGTTGTGATGAGACGCAAACGGTCGATGTGGTAAGTCACCTTCAGGGCAGGTGAAGCACGTTCCGCGTACTCGTTGAAGTTCTCGTCCGTCGGTCAGTAGGAGTGAGTCCTTGTCGAGTACTCCTGCTCTTATCGTATTGTTTAATACTGTGTTGCTTGGGTGTCCCATCCTTGCGTGCCAGGTGCTTTCGTCGGCGCGATGTCCGGGTGATCGTCGGTACATATCGGAGTTGGAGTAGAAGTTGGCGGTGAAGTTGGCGCTACGATGAACTTCTTGTGGTGCTGGGTGTAGTCGTTGCGCGGGTGTCGGTGGTGTGTCGTCGATGAGGAGCGGTGTCGTTGAAGGACCAGCAATTGGTGTTGACGTTCCTGCTGCTGCCGTTGATGGTTCTGCTACTGCCGATGTTGTCTCTGCTGCTGCCGATGTTGTCTCTGCTGCTGCCGATGTTGTCTCTGCTGCTGCCGATGTTGTCTCTGCTGCTGCTGATGTTGTCTGAATTGTTGCTAACGCCCTTGTTCTTTCTGCTTCAGGGATGGTGTGTGAATACCAGAAGCCTTCTGGACTGAAGTCTGGATCAAGGTCTGGAGGGTGTGTCCAGTTGGTGAAGTTAACGATGGCGTCGCTGTCGGCGGTGCCAAGATCAGGAACGAAATCAAGAACGAAGACGTTGTTCTTGAGGACCGCCTTGCCGATGTAAAGTCCTCCTCTCCCGTGATACAGCTTGAATTCTTGGGTGGTGCTGTCTGCTTCGAGGTGAATCCCTTTCGCCATTAGCTGACTGACGCTCAGTAAGTTGTAGCCGAGTCCCTCCGCGATTAGTACTTTTGACATCTGCAGTATAACGTTTGTTTCCCTTGACTGAAGTTGAACTACGCCTTGTCGTCGTGTTCGCAGGTTCTGATTGTTGGCGACTGTAATGACAACTTCGCGTTGAAGTTGGTGTTCTCGTTGAACGAAGCGTCCCGAGGAGCACATGTGCTGTCCGCAGCAACTGTCCAAGAACCATGTGTCCTTTCCGGATGGTTCGCTTTGGGCGATGGCGGCGTATGTCGGGTTCGGCTGAAGTGACTCGCGGCGGGGTGTGGTTTCGTCGAGTTGTTCTTCCGGTGAGTAGTGTGGTGGTGACTCGGTGATGCAGGAGTCACTCAGCTTTGCCATGTAGCTGACGATGTTTCTTGCTCCTTGTGCAGGTTGTCCCGTTGAAGTCGTTGAGGCTTGAATCTGGGTCGTGGGATTTGCTTGCGTTGAGGCGATTTGGCTGCTTGAAGGTCGAAGTTGCCGCTGTGGAGTTGTTGACTGTTGACGATTTGGGCAGTGCGTACGCGAGTGTCCTGAAGTTTTGCAGATGTGGCAGAACGGAGGTACTGGCTTCGGTTGTTGCTGCCGGTTGTTGTTGTTGTTGTAGCGTCGCTGAGTGTGGAACGCGAATTCCGGTGCTGATGTCTTCTTTTTGTGTCGTTCTTCTTGCAGGTCCATGTCTTGCTGCTCGGCGTGGATTTCGGCGCAGAGCGCTGCTTCGGAGATTCTTTCGTGAGCTCGGAGAATGGCCTTTGTGGCGCGCCATTGAGGACCGAGGCCGCCGATGATGACTGTCACGAAGGCGTCTTCAGAGATCGACCCTCCGCATCGAAGAAGCTTGTCGCGCAACTCGCGACATCGACTGATATACGCCATTCCTTTCTCCCCTGGTTTCATTTCAACCGTTGTCAGTTGCGCCATTAACCGACTTTGGCTTGCGCTGTCTGTTGCTTGATACAGGCTCTTCAGGTACGCGAGCTCCGCGGAGTTGCCGTAACCTCGGTAAGACCTTATGTTCTGCTGTTGAGTCGGGGTGATATTCCTTAGTAGGATCGTGTACGCCATCATTGACTGATAGGTGTACTGCTGCTTCTCGTACTGTGTGCCGTTTGTTGGGTATGGCAGAGACCCGTCGAAGAACCCGAGTATCTGCGCGCCTTCCATCATCAGCTCGAACTCGAACGACCAGGTGAAGAAGTCCTTTCCATCGAAGGGTCTTGACGTCTGCATCTTCAGAACGTGTGCGAACAGCGACTGAACTTGTAATGCGTCCAGTGATTTTTCTTGTCCAGGTGAAGGCTGTGGGTGTGGCATAAAGCTGATGGACCCGCGCTCGTACGGAGCAAAGGTAGGCTGCTGTTGTTGATTTCCTCGTGCATATGATGAGCCGTCGAGACTCATGGGTGTTGCTCCGTTGTTGTTGCTGTTGTGTGACTGCGCAGGTGCCGATTGCTGGTGTTGCTCGTAGAAGGACATGAAGGAGAAAAACTTCTCCATCATGCTCTGGTCGAATTCTGCAGGTTGATTCGCGGGAGTCTCGGTAGATGTTGCTCTGGGTCTTGTTGATGTGCCCTCCTCTGTCTGTAGGCCAGAGGCAGGAGGTGGAGTAGGAGTAGTGCCCTGGGAGCCGTTGGAGTTGCTTCTTTCCTTTTGTGTAGCCATGCTCGTTGATGTTGTCGGTATAGAAGTTGAATTCCCCCTGATAGCTCTCATACCATGTTGGGCTGAAAAGCCCTTAGGATCTTTGCAGGGGTGAACTCTGGGCAGATTTGGTGTAGTAGCGGAAGCGTTAATTAAAGAGTTGTGAACCACCTTGCGCTAGTATGTGAGGGCAAAGTAAGTTGATTAAAACAAAGAGATACAAGCTTTTATAAGAGTACAAGGAATACGAAGAGATACAGTTAATAACCGTTTTACTATTGCTGTTGTGGTTCGATACAGTGACGACTCGGGCAACTGCTCAATACTGAGTCAGTTGTTTGTCCTTGCTGTCGCGCTGTACTTTGTCAGGTCAAAGGTCGCTGACCTTTGACTTTCGCGTAACCTCCAACAGTTACTTTCAACCTCCGAGGGTTGACTCGCCGGTGATTCGTTATACTTCGTTTCTTTTGTGTCTTAGTGTTTCGACACGACAGAGGCGCTTAGGACCGATTGTTTCCAACATACATCACTGTAGCACCACAGTCAGCACCGTTACCACTCGCAACCCTCGCATCGACAATCCGCCCGCCACCTTCGCACGTCGCACCCCGACCTCACGGCTCGGCGGGTAACCCGCTCTCCGGGCCTCCGCTTCGACACTTTTCCCAACCTCAGTCCCAGGCCCGTTGCGCGACAACCACAGTCCATTACCGTTACCACTGTAGTTTTGCTATATATTCTTTGCTCATGCCTTCGCTCATTGGACTCTTGCTTCGATAGTACAATTCGCGTTCGTTCACTCAATTGCACTCGTAACAGTGAGCATGTGTGAACCGTTTGCACGCTCTCGATATCTTTTCATTTGAAAGCTCTAAGTCCAAAAAGAAGGTTCTAGGTATTTCGCAAATATGTTTTGATCAAGGCCTTCATTACCCATTCCCACCAGGCCTAGTGTCACATGAATGTGCTGCATCACTAAACCTTTGCATGGATATGGAGTAATTTTAACAAGAGGTACGTTACTCACCATTTCCAGTTTCTTTCACAGACAAAACTTTCAGCCTCTGTTCTTTAATTGCTCAAGTTTCCCAAACAACCGCTCAAGCTCCATTCCCCACTCCTCCTTCACCACTATCGGTTCCAGGTCATCCAACTCCACTGAGCTCAAAGAATTTCGACCACTGCCTCTCCCTCGTCCCCTCACACCCTTCACCTTCTTCCGCTCCTCATCCTCATCCTCACTACCAGAAGAAGCAGCAGCAGCAGCAGCGGCTGCGGCAGAGGCAGCAGCTCGTTCCTCAGCCATTCTCTGCATGCCAGCAAGAACCATCTCGCCTGTGATTGGTGGCAGCTGTCGCCGAGGCCGAGACGAGGACGAACCCTCCGAAAGCCCACCATCACCATTGCTATTCACCTCAGTGTCTATTGAAGACCAGACCTCCTTCCAGTCCTTCTCTTCAGTGCCTGGTACAGTGCTTGACACAACGCCCTTCCTTGCATCATCCCCATCCCCTTCACTGCTGCTTTCACTGTCGCTATCGCTGTCACTCCCACTGGCATTGCCGAGCTTGCTTTTCCTGCTCCAACTCCTCCTGGTGCTTATGCTGCCAGAAGCACCAGCGGCAACAGTGCCTGATACAGCCTTACTACCACCAGTACTGCTGCCGTTCTGATTGCTGCTGCTGGTTCTCTGCTTCTGCTTCAACTTCTGCTTCTCCAGCTGCTGCTGCTGCTGCTTACCCTGCTGCTTCTCCTGCTCCTGCTGACTCTCAATTTCCATCTTGGTGCCTGTTCTCACCTCCGTTTTGCTACCTCTTTCCCATCTGGATGCACTGCTTTGCCCACTCTGCTTATTCTCACCCATCCTATCCTTATTGCCACCCCCATTCTCGTTGCCTTTCCTTGCACGTCCCGCATTGTTCTTTTCACTCTCCTCTCTCCCCATCTCCTCACGCCGCTCATTCCTGCCTCCTTTACTGCCAGCCCCTGCTCCCGTTGCGTCCACCCTCGACCCGTTCCCCTTCTTAACCTGGACCTTATCCCCCTTCACCTCCTCTTCCTTTCCCCCCTCTAGTCTGTCCGCCCCTCCACTCTCTGCCTCTCTTCTCTCCGCCTCTCTTCTTCTGCTTCTGCCATCACCGGCACGGCCCGAACCACCATTTCCGACGCCGCTCTCAGCACTCTCAACCCTGCGACCTTTTCCTATCTCTCCCTCCTCCTCCCCCAATTCACCCTGCTCCTCGGGATCATCCCACGGGTATCGCGTCTCAGTTTCCTGCACCTGCATCTTCCGACTTGTTCCTACTCCGTTTCTTACATTTCTCCCCTTCGGCTCTCCTCTTTCCCCAGCAGCACGGCTCACTGGCACTGCGGCCTGCTGCAGCGCCTCTGCTGCTGCTTTACCCCCCTGCACTTCCACTTCATTGCCCTCTGATCCATTTCTCATCTGCGTTGACTCAAAAGGCGCTTCGGCGTCCAAACCCTGCTTCCTCCTCCGCTCGACGCTTTCTTCAAACTGACTCTCTCGTGGTGCTGCTTGCTGCTGCCGCTGCTTCTCCGCTGCTTTGAGCTCTGCTACTTTAATCTCTGCTCGTTTACTCTCTGCGCCTTGCATCTGAGCCTGCAGCGCCCGCAGCTGATCCACATACCCTAACCCGCTAGCCTGATCCAATCTCTTCTCCTTCTGACCCGACTTCGACCCTCGCTCCTGCCCCTCTGCTCCCACCCCTCCCTGACTGCTCCCTGCTGCCACTCCTCCTCGCTGCTGTCGCTTCTGACGATTCCCAGGGAGCCTACCGTTTGTACCACCTTCGGCACCTGTCGTTCCTCCATTGCCATTCCCCCGCACTCCTTCTAGCATTGAACCCCCTCTCACCCCCGTCGAGGCTCGTTCTCCTTCCACGTGCTGCTGCTGTTTCTGCTGATGTTTCTGCTGCTGCTTCGGTTGCTGCTGTGTCCGCTTTGTCCCCTGCTCCCCCGGTCTCCTCTCCTCCTCCTGCTGCCGCTGCTCTTGGTGCTGCTGCAGCTCGTTTCTACCAGAATCCCTCCCAGCACTCGCCCCGCCGTCGAGCCCTGTATCAGAAGCATCCACAGCCCGCTTGTCCACCTGCTTCTCTGCCTCTCCTGCCGTACTTTCGTCTGTCACTCTCTTCCCCTTCTTCGTGTTACTAGAAGATTCGCGTGTCGTCGTGGAGGGAGATTTCGGAGTCGGGATCAGAGAAGCTAGCTTAGCGAAAGGTCCTGACGCATCGTCTCCGGAGCCGAACCGCGCTGAAATCGCGGGAGCCAATCGCCTCCTGGAACGCGCGAAATTCCCGTTATACGCAGGCCACTCCATGCCAATCGCCCGTCTGGGGGAGGAACCCGTTCGACCGGTCCAAGCCATTTGACCTGTAAACTTCTCGGAGACTCCATCAGACAGGCGATGCCTGAAAAGTAGCCCCTGAGAAGTTGGAAACAAGGGTGGATTTGAATAGAACCTCTGAGAGCGGAAGGGATCGTGCAGTGAAAATACTCGCAAATCCCTGTCCTGCCAAGCAGATAGTTCCAAATTCGGGCGATTGTTCGACGCAGTATGTCGCACACGCGATCGTGGGAAATCCGCAGTATGTCGCACACGCGATCGTGGGAAATCCGCAGTATGTCGCACACGCGATCGTGGGAAATCCGCAGTATGTCGCACACGCGATCGTGGGAAATCCGCAGCTAGATGATTTCGCACGCTGACTGTAATCGACGAATCCAAGCGTGATTGCACGGCAGCGCGCTGCTGCCAGGGACATGCCGCACTTTTCACGGAGGGTGGAGCCATGCGCGCGCACACTGTCGACGTACTGAAGCTACGAAGATTGTGCGGGAACTAAAACCGTGTACTAGTAAGGTGCACGGACGAGTAGGTGATGAAAGGTTGCTGGGAGTGACGTGTGCTGTTCTGGTGCACAACGACACTGGCCGACATTTTTCGCGATAAAGGGAGGCTTCCGCCAAAAGAAGTGTGATACAGAACCAAGAAACTCGTCGCTTGGTGATAAAACGGAAGATATGTAGATTCATGCTATGTACATTTCTAGTTCAGCATTGTACTTCGTTACATCCTAAGCTTGGCCTTCTCTGAACAGCATCTCCATTTGCAGGAGGATTTGTGGGCATTGAAACCGACCCTCCCCTCCCATCAACACCGATTTCAACGACAGAGCCCCCATATCTGGCTGGCAATGCGTCACCTGAATGACCCATTTTGAAGTTTTGATACCCTACACCTGGAACGAACTCTGGCAACACCCCACCTGGTTTCGAGTATGGGTGTACACTAAACGAACCTCCATAAGACGACATTGTCATGCGGGTCACCTCAGACCGCATATCCTCCATAGCCTTCCTCTCAGCTTGCCTCTGCCGCCACATGCACACCCCACACACCGCACAACCACAGCATACAAGCACAATCACCACAACCACAACCACAATAATCGTAATCATTCCAGCTCCCAAACCAGCAGTACCATTCTTGCTCGCACTCTGCCCCTCATTCCCTTTTGAGCTGGGGAACGTGCTAGGACCCTTTACAACCCCAGAACCATCAATTCCAATGCTTCCAGGAGGTCCGGAATCTGAAGGAAATGGCGTGGCGCCTTCAGGCAGGGTGCACCACTGAAAGGCTCGACCGAGGCTCTGGTTTGGGTCGGTAGTCCAGCCTTGGGAACAGATGCACTGGCTACTGTCAGGTGCTGCTGGCGTTCCGTGGGGGCCACAATCAGCGGGCTGAGGAGGGGGCGGTGGTGCTGAGGCCTGTGCTGGTGGTGGTTGTAACGGGTATGTGGGTGAAGCTGGTGAGAATGGTGAGCCTGGTAGAGGAGGTTGAAAGGAGGCGCCAGTAGGAGGAAGGGGAGAGGTGGGAAGGGGGAATGGAGAGGGATCGGAGGGAGCTGAAAAGGGGACAGAGGGAGGGATCTGCGGTTGGAGCCAGGGGGAAGGCGGAAGGGAGGGGGAAGGAGGACTAGGCGGGGGAGGGGAAGTGCAGATGAACCCGGGTAGGCAAGATGTTGAGTAAGGAGAGGGCGGAAGGGGAGCCTCGCATAAATTCTTGATGGTGTTCCAGATGGGTCTGAAAGGGCCGTACTTGGTGCTGCAGTCGACTGCACGGCACCAGGGGAAATCGTCTCCCGTTATAAGCTCCTGATCTACAGTACATGTGATGCAGTAGAGGCGGTAGTTGTAAGCGATTAGAACGCCTGGAGGTGGACATGGAGGGGCGGAGGATTGAAGAATCTTTCTCCCGTGGTTACTACCAATAGCTTCTGGCGAGGAAAATGCGGGGTCGAATGGCGAAGGCATAGCTGACACCATTCCGAAATAGTGCTGTCTGAATCTGAAACGATAAGGTTGGCGCGATCAGGTTTAGAAAGGAAAACTACGCGACAGCGCGATCAAGTTTCGGAAAAGAAAAACTACGCGACATGACAATCTGACCAATCTTATAGACTTCGCACGGCGGGAGGAACAATTCATTGTAGATTACGCAAAGGCGATCAAATAGAATGACCGTTTAAAACGCGCCTTACAGGATGAGAAGAAATGAAAGATGAAACGACGCCCATAATGGAACCTTCATTTCTTTATCAGCCATACTGAGCCTGGAACAATGAAGCCATTAGAAACATCATTGGCACGCATACTCGTGGCTATACGGGAGGCCGCGCACCTGAGAGTGCGACAAAACCAGTTGATGCGCGAGAGGTGTCGAATCAAGTCGAGTCCAAACCAGACATGCAAGGGTACCTGTACAACGCTGCTGATGCTATTGAGAATACGTCTTCTTGAAACTAAATCACCTCCTGAGGTAATGAGACGGGAACGGGATTATGGAAATGAGATGAGAATGTGGAGGGCTTGCACAGGGTGGATGAACTAGGTGGATGTCGCCACGCCAGGTGCTGGTTAAAATTCGCCTGCGACATCGCGACACCACAGAAGTTGACGCGCGAGCCACATCTGTGGCTTGGAATGAATTCTGTCAGCAAACCAGCAAACAGACGAAGATGAACCGGCAGATTCGCGAGATAGTAGGACCCTGGGTTGTGAGCGCTGTTCCTCGGATCCTTTGCAGGTCCCGTTTCAGCTTCGCACATTTTGTTCGTGGTTTGGGAATGTGGTTACCTGAATTTTCGTTTTGGGGGTTGTCCACGAGCTTGTGTATGAACAGTAACTGTACGACCTGGACAATCCCAAGCGGCGAAATCGGGGCGAGATCTGCGTGGGGACTCAAAATTTCGTGGGCTCAGGTAACCTGCTCCAATCGATTGGCTTGGGTCTGGTCTACCTGGTCGACCCGACCAGACCGACCCGGGTCGGGCAGACCCGAACCGGCCCGGCTAAGTCGATCTGGTCGGCTAGACCTACGGCACAGCCTTCCTAGAAATGAGGGATCGAGGGATGGTCGACCCAATCCGTGTGGGTCGCAACACGTCGTCAAACGCGCGTGGTCCGATCGACCCTGGTCGGTCCAAAAACCAGCCAAACAGGGCTGGTGCTTTTTCGGACTGACCAGGGTCCGAATTCGAACCGAACCCCAAAATCGCTTCCCCGTCAGGCAGATTTTGACCCCTCTCAACTCTTCTCCACTCTTCTCCATTCTTCTACACCCTTTTCCGCACCACGCCATCAATTTCTGCACCCTCGTCAATCTGGGGTACCAAGTCTCTCAGCACATTCCCCCCTCCGTTTCACTAGCTTCTCAAGGTTACACACCAGCACTCCATGGTCCGTCCCTGATTGTTAGAGTTGGTTCGCCCAACCACGGAACCTATGGCGAAAGTCTCTACGACGGCAGAATGACGGCGAAATGGAAGCGCGTGGATGATTCTAGAGTGAAACGGTGGAAATCGGCCTACGACGGAGATTGGAAGCTACGGCGTGAGAAGCGGGAGAAGAATCGGGAAGGAACCAGAGAAATGGAGGAAGAAGGTGGAAGAAGCATCGAGATTGAAGTTGACGATGGGAAATTGTGGTTCGAGCTCGAGGCGTGTTCGAGAAGGTTCCAGATTCGGACTTGAGGAGTGTTCACCGAATTCGGTTCGGTTGCGTGTGCGACTTGGGGTGAAACGAGGCGCACGCGGTTACTTGGGAAACAAGTGAAGTTACGAATCGCATTTTGTGTCTTGCCTGACTATAAACCTGTTTGTACTCATTCTGGAAATCACAACATTGGACAACATTGACAACATTGAGATTCTGAAAATTGCTGAAGTGTGTATTGACAACTTCAAGCAGAGCTGCGCATATCATTGGAATTGGGAGATCGTGGAGAACACGATAAGCAATAGCAAGTAGACTATTGCCTACTAAGGCGTTTACGATCCTAAGAACTGGTACCAGAGCTTGACGAACGAGCGCGTCGATCGTCGTGAATTCACTTGGTGCGCTAAGTGAAATTAGTGGAGAAGAGGAGTCGTTCACGCCTACGCTATGGGAGACGAGGCGAGTTCGGGTTTCAGTGTGAGTCTTGGAGACCCGCAGTTGAAGACTCTTCTCGAGGCCCTTGCGAGTGGCCGTTTGGTGGCGAAACCGGCGATCGGGCTCAGTGAAGCCCAGCGCTTCAACGGGAGCAACTACAACGTGTGGCGGAAGAAGTTCATTCGAAGGGCAGAGGAGGTGGACCTCTTGCCGTACTACCGTCACGACGAGGAGACGATGGAGGGAGTTGCGCCTTCCACGACGGATACGAAGGAGAAAATAGCGGCGTTTAAAAAACAAAGTAGGCAAGCGTTCTTTCAGCTTTGTCATTCAGTTGCCAATGGAATCGCGGTGGATTTGGACCAGTTTGCAGGGGAGTTGAACTCTGCACAGCGAGCGTGGGAGTAGCTGGAGTCCACGTACATGGGCACCAACGACGTCAACAAGAAGACGATTTGGAAGCAGCTGCTGATGCTGAGCATGGAGAAAGGTGAGAAAATCATCACCTACATTAACAGGGCGAAAAGCTACAACGACGATTTGCGGGCGATGGGAGCCGCGGAGACGGAGAAAGCGATGATCGACTACATAGTCGATGGACTGCCTAAGGAGTGGGAATCCGACATCGGTATGTTTACGTACCAACCGCCGGAGAGTTTGATGAAGCTGCAGGAGATTCTGCAATCGCTTGAGACGGTGAAGGAGATGAGAAAGAAGAAAGCAGCAGCAGTAGCTAAGGAATTCGACGAGGAGAGGCCGGGTATGGTGAATGCCACGAAGGCGTTTGGAGCGTGCTACCAGTGTGGAAAGAGGGGGCACAAGGCGATAAACTGCTCCGAAAATCCGCGAAGCAGAAACTACAAGGGCAAAGCGGTGGAGAACGAGAAAGTGGAGAATGAGGGAGCGGAGTGGCAACAGAAACGAGGTTTTGGCCGCAAGTGTGATTACTGTGGGCGCTACGGGCATCGTGCTGCAGAGTGCTACTCCAATCCGAACAGCAATAACTACAAGGGTCCGTCGCAACAGAGGAATGTGGCGGGAAAGGCGAATGTAGCGGAAGCGGAAAAGGAGGATGCGATTTTGGGAGGAGCGCATCTCGCGAACGTGGTGCGTTCACCGAAGGAGGTTTGCCAGACGAACGAACGTGAGAAGACATGGTTCATGGACAGCGGATGCACGCGTCACATGACATTCAGGTCAGATTGGATGGAGAATGTGAGAGAGTCGAGTGAGGATTATATACTGCAAGGTAACAGTGGGAAGTTACCAGTGACAGGAGAGGGTGACGTGGTGCTGCAGAGTCCATATGGAGAGGTGAAACTGGAGAGTGTACTCTTGGTTGAGGATTTGAAGGTGAACTTGGTCAGTCAGTCACAGCTTGATGAGTTGGGGTGCAAGATATTCTATGACAGTGGTGAGGTGACTGTGTTTGGTCCTGAGTGGGAGAAGTTTGCCGATGGCTACTTTAGTGACGAGTTCTATGAGATGAACTTGGTCGCGATGAACGTTAAGGATGAAGTCTATGAGGACCCTGAGTATGCTGAGATGGGAGAATTGGAGGAGTTATCCAATGAGGTTGATAAGAGTGAGGACTCGGATGATACAGCAGCAAGTGTGGAGGCAGAACTGAAGCAGGAAGAGGATATAGTCACCATGGAGGCAGCAGCAGTGAATGGTAGAGATGGAGCTAGTGTCAACACTTTTGCAGCAGCGATCGAGGTTGCAGATGAAGCAGTAAAAGCGAAGTGTGTGGGAGTTGAAGCTGTGAAAGGGGACATCATGGTGAAGGGATCAAAGGCGAATGCAACTGCAAACGGACGAGTGGCTACAAAGGAGGAACACGTTGAGGGGTACGAGACCCGAGAGAAGTTGGGTGTTGAGATGCCGAGGAGAAGCGAGAGGCTCAAGAAAATGTTTCATGGATTGGATGTCAAGGCGCTCAACTTCAAGACACGTAAGGAGAGGTTCAAGGTGCAGGAGCTGGAGGGGAGCGTGAAGCCGACTTAGACCCTATGAAGGCTACAAGGAGCAGGGGAGCAGTGCAAGTGGAGTTCGTGGTTGACAAACCACAGGGGAGATTGTTAGAGTTGGTTCGCCCAACCACGGAACCTATGGCGAAAGTCTCTACGACGGCAGAATGACGGCGAAATGGAAGCGCGTGGATGATTCTAGAGTGAAACGGTGGAAATCGGCCTACGACGGAGATTGGAAGCTACGGCGTGAGAAGCGGGAGAAGAATCGGGAAGGAACCAGAGAAATGGAGGAAGAAGGTGGAAGAAGCATCGAGATTGAAGTTGACGATGGGAAATTGTGGTTCGAGCTCGAGGCGTGTTCGAGAAGGTTCCAGATTCGGACTTGAGGAGTGTTCACCGAATTCGGTTCGGTTGCGTGGGCGACTTGGGGTGAAACGAGGCGCACGCGGTTACTTGGGAAACAAGTGAAGTTACGAATCGCATTTTGTGTCTTGCCTGACTATAAACCTGTTTGTACTCATTCTAGAAATCACAACATTGGACAACATTGACAACATTGAGATTCTGAAAATTGCTGAAGTGTGTATTGACAACTTCAAGCAGAGCTGCGCATATCATTGGAATCGGGAGATCGTGGAGAACACGATAAGCAATAGCAAGTAGACTGTTGCCTACTAAGGCGTTTAAGATCCTAAGACTGATAAGGTCCGTTAGGTTGGTCCGACGGCCATTGTGACATATGCTTGTCTTACAGATTTTTCTCTTACGGTGGTTAAGAAAGGGTATAAATATGTTCCCAGCTGAAATGTTTGGTGTCAGATCGTCGTCTGAGAAATCTTATCCTTCACAGGTCAACTTCAGAGCATGTCGCTTTCCACAAGAATCTATTCTCTTCCTGACGACGTTCTTACCAGGATCTTCTGGCATTCTGACCAGCCGACCTCTTCATTGTCTCTCTCCGACTACTACGGGGATGATAAACCAGATCGACAGCATGATCCGCATTTCACGACGCCTCCTGCCTCTGCCGATGTCGCTCTCGTTCTCCGCATCGCCTCCGTCTGCCGTCGCTGGCGGGAGCTCGCACAGAAATTCGTCACAACGCTTCACGTTTCACCAGATCGTCTCGTGTCTCGCCAGGATCTCAAACGCGTTTTGGTGCCCTTCCCGAATCTCTCTCACCTGCATTTGAGCAACGGAAGCATAGATTCTATCGACGACGATTTTCTATCATTTCTCGGCTCAAGGTTTCCAAACCTAACCGCTCTTCATGTCGGCTCAGGCATTGCTCCAGTGAACCGCTTCCGGTATCGCGAGGAGGAGATAGACGACTTTGATTATTCAGAGCAGCCTGTCACGCCAGCTGGGCTGGATATTCTCTTCCGCCATTGTCATCGCTTGGAGCAGCTGTCACTTCAGTGCCTTCATTGGAAAACGAAGTTTCCGCTGTCGTTCTTCCAGCTGACGCGGCTGCACACGCTATCCCTTGGGGTTGTATCGTTTCTGAAGGACCCCAACTTCGCCAATCTGACTTGTCTCACGAAGCTTTCAATTCAGAAACGGGACATGCGGTTACATCAGATGTCGCCGTTAACTCGCCTTCCGAATCTGACCAGCCTGTTCTTTCCAGGAGAGGCGTCGTTCCGTGATTACGAAGGGGACTTTTCATTCGGGCAACTGACCTCTCTTCGTTCGCTGGGATTCGTGCGGGGGACAACAGAATTCCCTTCAATGTTTCCATCAGAGTCACCGTGTTTCCGTCTTCAACGTTTACTGCTTACTGATGTTCGGAACATCACACATGAGGATCTTGGCGAGCGGTTCCCGGCACTTCTTGAACTCTGCCTTTCAAAAATCGGTGACGGTTCGACTGAGCTGGGAGATTCCCTTACAAGCATCAGCACCTTGGAAGTTCTCACCCTTTCCGACTGCAGTATAACCAGCCTACCTGAGAATCTTGGAGTTTTGTCAAGGCTGAAGTCCTTGGTGCTGAGTAGCTGGTCACTGGAGAAACTCCCAGATTCCATTGGGTTACTCACCAGGCTTCAGAAGCTGTCCATTGACTCTATGAACATTGACTCCCTCCCTGCAGCAATTTCTTGCTTGGCTGCTCTTGAATCGTTGAACATCAGGCATTTACAGTTGACATCGATCCCAGAGGGGATAGGCGAACTGACCAATCTCCGCACTTTGGAGCTGAACTGGTGTCGTGCCCTGCAGAAGCTGCCAACGTCACTCAGTCGTCTCTCTTCTCTGACACGGCTCGAAATCAGCATGTGCCCTACTATTGCTAACCTTCCAGAGGGTACAGGCCAGCTGCGTGACCTGCGCGAGTTGACATTGAGCCACTGTGTTAATCTGACAGAGCTGCCAGAATCCATTACCCAACAGAGCCGCCTAAAAACTCTCAAAGCCCCATGTGTGTCATGCTCGCATCGGCACCTCGAGCCATGGGAAACCTTTCATATCTGCGCGAGCTGGATCTGAGGGGTTGTTATCAGCTAAAGGAGACCATAGAAACTCTGCCACAGTTTCTGGAAACCTTGGGCTTGGGAAACGACAGCAGCAGCACCATCCTTCCTGACTTGTCAGTAGCTCCAAATCTTAAGAACCTGCGGTTGATTCAGGTTGCTACCATGGATGCAGCCAGCAGCTGTTGGCTCTCTCAGATAGAGCACCTGGAGATGCTCATGGGTGCTGAACAAAGAGAATTTCCACTCCTACCCGGGTTCCTTTCATCCCTCCGCGTTCTGCACATCTCACGAGCCAAGTCGCTGCAACACCTGCCTCATGATATCGACTCTCTGCCTCAGCTGCGACAGCTGCGAGTGGAAGGGGCGGAATCTCTGCAGGAGATTCCAGCAAGTGTGGGCCAGCTTGTGCAACTCAGATCTCTTCAGGGAGCTGGATCTGAGATACTGTGAGCAGCTTCAGTCTCTGCCACAAGAGCTGCGGTACATGACGATGCTGCGAGTGCTGAATGTTATTGGCTGCAAGTTGCTTGATTAAGATTCGGCACCTTCCAATGTTTATGCGAGGCATGGACTCGTGGCTTATGACGACTGGTAGGCTGGGTGCATGTCATGAGCTGTGTAGATGTCCCTGCCACAAGAGCTGTGTAACATGACGATGCTGGATCTCCGCGGTTGCACGATGCATGACTAACTACCGGCCAATCTATATGTGAGGCAAGTAATCAGCTCAAGTCAAATCAGGATTCATGATATAAAGTGGGCTTTTGGAAGTTGTTTGGGGGTGCAGATTTGTATGCAACTACCACATTTAAGTACGGCCGGTATAAGCACAAGGTATGCTATACTGGTAGTTTTACAAAAGTGACTAGCGTCATGCAGAAGTGCATCAGAGGGGTGCACTCGGTAGCATTTTCGTATTCATTTCTTCTGTTGTTTTAGAGCCGTGTTGGAATATATATATGTAACAGCCTATAGCTGTAGTTTAGTGTAGCTATCATAAACTGTTGGTGGTGCACCATTCTTGTTTCTTGCCTATTTGTACTGTTCGCTCCATAGTGAACCTCCTCTTTTGTTGGTGACACTTCTCTCTCGCTTCTCTCGTTCCTGTAGCCATCGCTACTAAACCCACTCTCATCATTCCGTTCTTGACATGGTATAAGAGCGAGTCTTTCTTAAGGACCAAATCTTTACTGGGCCCACCGCTTCCCAATGGCGCACCCCATAGTGCGCCTCATGGGCGCTTCCCTGCTGCAGCCCGTCGCCCGCGCGCTACCCCACTGCAGTCCCATCCGTCCCTCCGTCCCGTCTGTCCTGCCCGTCCCGTCGCGCCGCGCCCTGCCTGTCCGGTCCCGTCGCGTCCCCCTGCCCGTCGCATCGCGCTCTGCCCGTCCCGTCGCGTCGCGCCCTACCCGTCCCGTCCCCTCGCACTCTACACCCTGCGCCATATCGGTCGCGCCCTGCGCCTACCCATCGCGCCCTGCGCCCTGTCCGTGAGCAACCAGCTGCCGCCCCTCCTCTCTATCTCACGGCCACACGTACAGCAGTGGGGGGGGGGGGGGGGGAGAGTGTGAGTGGAAGACGAACCTGCTGGTGTGGGGAGGGGAGCTTGGAGGTGAAGGGGGGTAGTGTGAGGGGGTGGCGAGAGAGATTTTGCCGCACCAACAGCCGTCCGCCCTTTGCTCTCCCTCACTGCCGTGGTTGCAGCTGTGGGGGGGAGGGTAAGAGAGGGTGGCAGAATTCAGCTGAGCATCTGCTGCTGCCGCCCACTGCAACCGTGGCACCTCCAGCTGCAGCCCCTGCCGCCACCCACTGTTTCGTCCGTTTCGTCTGTCGTCTACTTCTGTTGAGCGGCAGGTGCTGCCGTTGACCCCTGCTGTGCCGCTGCACGTTGCCGCCGCACGCACCCACTCTCCAGGCGACCTGCCACTACATGCACCTTCTTCTATTGCTTCCTTCTGTTGCAGCTGAATTTGCCACCACTGCACCGGTTGTTACTGCTCTTGCCTACTGCTACTTTACTCTGCTTGGTGTACCCATCCAGGAGGTGTCGCTGTACGAACTCCTGCTGCAGGCAGTTATGGGGGAGTGTTGGAATATATATATGTAACTGCCTGTAGCTGTAGTTTATTGTAGTTATCATGGTGCACCATTCTTGTTTCTTGCCTATTTGTACTGTTCGCTCCATAGTGAACCTCCTCTTTTGTTGGTGACACTTCTCTCTCGCTTCTCTTGTTCCTATAGCCATGGCTACTAAACCCACTCCTCATCATTACGTTCTTGACAAGCCGTGTCATCAAAATGAAAAGGTACAATGATTTGTCAGAAACCGAAATGGTGGATTGACTATTGTGGGTTGGGGTACAGTAAATTTGACATGATCTGCATTTTTGTGACAGTAAATTCTATAAAAGCGTTATACCGTATTCAAGCACTTTGTTTTGCTGGAGCGCCATTTCCACCATCGTATCTACAACCATTGCTAGACCTGCACAAGCTAGTCAACATCGCCATGCTAATACAGTAAAATCTGTGGTGGTTAATCCCTTCCTACCGCGCCTCA